CAGAAATACAATACCAAAACCAGAAATAAAAGCATAGTATAAAGAAGAGAAAAACAAATATTCTAAAACTACATAAAACCAGAAATAAAAGCATAGTTTTAAAGAAAAGAAGAGAAAAACAGATATTCTAAAACTACAGAGCAATGACCCCACTTCTGAAGAGGTCAAGAGGAAGTGTCTCGCGGGAACTTTTGTCAAGCATGAAGTCTGGAAGTGATGTCAGCTCGATATTGGCTGACCTTTTCCTCTCTCTCCCTTGTGCTGGGGTCGAATGACGTTCAGAAAGTAAGAATGGGATGAAGTAGGTTTGCATCTATACGTGTATATACATATATATATATATATATATATATATATATATATATATATATATATATATATATATTTATTATATTATACATATATATATACATATATATACATTTATATATATATATATATATATATATATATATATATATTATATAATATATATATATATAATATATATATACTTATATATAAGTATATATATATATACTATATATATATATATATTATATATTAATATGTATATATATATGTATTATATATGTATATATAAATATGTATATGTATATGTATATATATATGTAATATGTATATGTATATGTATATATGTATATATATATATATATATATATATATATTACATACTATATACATATACAATATATATGCATATATGCACATACGTGTATATGTATATACATTTACACACAAAACACACACAAACACATATATATGCATATATATTATATATATATATATACTATATATATATATTATATTATATATATACATATATGTATATATACATATACATATATATGTAAATATTTATATATATAAAGTGAAAGAGTGAGAAAAGCATAGACAGCCTATTTTATATATGTATGCACACACACAAACACATACGCACACACACACACACACACGCACACACACACACACACACACACTCACAGTATAATATATTACATACATTATATTCATCATACATATATATAATGGCGGCGAAGAGAGAAGCCGAAATAAATGAGTGAGAGAGAGCGAGGCGAGAGAAACAGCACGAGAGAGCGCCAGCGAGGAGGCGTCCAGCTCCTCCTCGCAAACAAGGTCAAGCCCTTCCCTGTACTTCGCTGGCGGTCACGATCTCCCAAGTAAAATTAAACACACGGAAAAAAACAGAAAAAACAAAAACAGCCAATGTCGCTTTTTATCTGGGGGAGATATGCCGAAGTGGCAACCGCGCGACCTCATTTCACTGATGCCACTTCACTCTCCTTCCTTTTTTTTTTTTTTTTTTTTTTTTTTTTTTTTTAACCACTTATTTTGTTTTTGTTTGTTTATCATTCCATTCCCGGTTTAATTACCTTGGCTTATGAAGTCGTTGCTCACGAGGAAATTTCCCCCGGTGACATATTTTCTTTTTTTTTTTTGACGAAGAAAACAGTCAGATTCCAGCATATATGTGTTGTTGTTACGTTTTGTTGTTGTTACGGTGTTTTTTTCCCATTGGTTCTTCGTAAAATGAAGAAATGATTTGTTCAAATAATTTGTTAATATCAAAATAGTAATGATACTGATGATAATGATAATGACAATAAGAACAGTGATATCGATAATTTAAATGATAATAACAATAGTGACATAGAAATGATAATGATAATAATAGTTATAGTAATAATTATAATAGCAATAATATATGATATAATAATAACAATGGTAATAATGATAATAAAATGTTACTGATGTAATTAAAAAGATATTCTCATAAATAAACATCAAATCACCATTCTTAAGTACACTAGATATGTCTGTAACACAATTACAGTTACATTTGTTGCCAAGGGGAATAGAAATAACACAAGTGCCTATTATTTTTAGACAACCAGCTAATCCATATATTAGAAATCTCGTAACGCAGCATAAGTACAAGAAGACTGAACACTCCCTCTATCTGTAACATGGACTGCCCGACAAAGTCTGACAGGCAGGCCGACCTTGGCACCGCTGGCCTGAGGGAGAAACCGGAAACCATAATTGAACAAATTAAGGAACAAATAATGGCGGTAGATCTCGTATCTCATACATGAGGCTCCGTACTCTAATTTTCGTGTATTTATTTATTATTGGGGAAATTATATTAAAGTGAGGTGTGGTATATTTTCTAAAAAAAACAAGAATCACAATGATTAATTAAAAGATATATTCACAATAAAAGACTAAACAATATATATTGAATGACAAATTCAAAATTCAAATCTAAAATGTCAAATTCGCAAATGATATAACCAAATGATTTAATCATAAAGAAAACGAGATACAAAGAAAATAGATTCGTGGAATATTAAAAGATTGAAGATAAGCTTTTAATATGACGTCAGCAGTACTTTCCTATATAAATGAACCAACACGACTTTCATTCTCTCGTGGGCCTCTCAATTCCTTGATAACCTTCCTCGGTCAACTTTGCAAA